CTGCACATTATGAAACAAGCACATTTTACCATTATTAGCCAGAAGCACGAAATAGATGGTAAAAGCTATGTGCAGTATTTACAGGTACTCCATATAATGTATGAGGGATTTGCGCTTGCAGGGATAAGTACACGTGGAAGCAAGCATTTCTGTAACTAGAGCATAAGGATGTCATCTCATTAACCCCCCCCCCCCCTTATTAAAGGATAAGTTCACCTTTTGCAAAAATTAAAGAAAAGCATATTTAATAATATAACAAAAAATATGCTTTTCTTTACTTTTTGCATTCAAGCCTGGAAAGCATTGCAACTGTGATCACTCGATCAGGGCTGCAAAGCTCAGGCTTCTGCACATACTTTCCCAGGCAGAGCTCCATACGGAGTTTCAGTTAGGAGAGATGGAGGAAGGACGCCTGGACTTCAAACTGGATTATATCACCTCATACAGTGTCCAGCCGTCCTCTCTGGTTAGATGCGGTAGAGCTGTCCTTATTCCCGTCCTTCCCCCATCTCTCCTAACTGATACTCCGTACATCAGTATGGAGCTCTGCCGGGGGGAGAATGTGCAGAAACATGAGCTTTGCAGCTGTGATCCAGTGATCACAGTTGCAATGCTTTTCCAGGCTTGAATGCAAAAATGAAAGAAATGCATATTTTTGTTATTATTAAATATGCACTTCTTTCATTGTTGCAAAAGGTGAACTTATCCTTTAAGTTGTCTGTGAAGGTTCTCATTTATCCAGTTCATAGTAAATCTGTAAAAACATTTTCAAAAAAATAGTCAACTGCACTTGGTGGATTTTTCTTGAAGACGTTTCGATGATCATCTGACAAGCTTTCTCAGTTTAGAATGAATTCTGAATTGAGAAAGTTTGTTTGATGAGCAGCAAAACATCTTCAAGAAAAATACATTTAAAAGAGAACTATGGGCTAAGTGGTTTTCCCCATAGTTCTCTTTAGGGTCACAGGAGGACATATACTAGCCTCCTCCCAGATATACTGTGAACGCCGCAGCCGGGATGGATCCTGACATTACTGTCGAGATCCACCCAGCTGCGTGAGTGACAGCTGGCTCTGCCTAAATAGAGGCAGAGCCAGATGTGCCCGCCCCCTCCCCCGTCCGTTCCTCCAGTCAGTGCTGGAGGATTAGAGAGGGGAGGGGGGAATTCCTGCGGGGAGGGGTGTCTGACAGTCACCGCTTACTGCAGGGAGATGATCGGGAAGTGAGCGGATCGGTGCATGTTTCTGCTCGCTTCCCGATCGATAGAGCCAACCTGTGACGGCTTCTTTGTCACAGGTCGGCTCTAACTATGAGGATGAGTGGAAATCACTCACCTCGTAGTTCTCCTTTTAAGTCCAGTTGCCTTGACTTATTTTTTGCACTTACCCCCATTAGGTTAATAGAAAACAAAAGGGTAAATGCTGCAGGTTATTCTTTTATGTCTTATGTTTAGGTTTACTTGGTTTTATGTGTAAGAATTATTACTAGAATTTTACCCCAAGAGTTTGTTAATCATTTCATTCTCAGATTGTGATTTATATGAGAGGATATGTTTTAAATCAACATACATGTAATCATGTACTTCTCTCATGCCGTATAATAGGAGACGTTCAACGGAGCACCTGTGGGTATTTTCCAGCCCTTTGGCAACCAGCATCCCCCAGCCATTGGTCTTCTGCCCCCACCAATCCCAACCATGCCTCCTACCTATGACTTTGTAAGTAGTGAGGGATGATTCCTTCTCTTCTACTGGACTTCTTTTCCTTGGTATTAGATCATGTAATACCACTGCAGTTTAGGGTTTACAACTGGTGAGAATGGACCTCCAGAACCTCCCATATGCCACTTAACACTGTACTGAAGGCAAGCAGCTAAATATTTAGTAGAACTGCAAACGGATATGTTTGCCAACAGACTTCGAATTCTGTTCAGGTATTATTGTGCTTTACACACATCGTCCACCCAGCATAGCCAGTCAGGTGACACCGTTCTTTTTTTAGCATTACAGCTTCCTGTGTCACCTGTTTGCTTGTGTAATGATAAATTGGTTTGCGTGTCCACAGGGAGGCCTCTAGACCCAAACATACACTTTAGATCAGTGGTTCTCAACCTGCGTAACCTCAGGAACCACATCTGTCCTTGCTCATTAAGTCGTGACCCAAGTCGCACTGCAATGGAACGCACGGCATTGCGGTACTACGTGTTATGGTGCAGGCGATTGAACGTGGGTGGGAGATGCATTTGGGGTACCATTCAAATGAATGGCAACATACCTCCCGCCCCAGAATGCACAGTGGATGCAATTGCATGGTTCAGTGTATTAACCGCACGAGACTGTGCAACTAATACACTGTGCTAGTGTGAACGGGCCCTCAAAAACACTGACAGACGCACACAACCACAGACACAATCTCGCACGCTCATTCTCACATTCTCACTCACATATGCACACTCCCAAAAAAAAAATTTTTTTAAGATGCACCCAGTCTCCCTAATTTTCGATAACTGGAGTGGATCCTCAGCCTGGGGTCCAGTGTGGGCTGGTGTGCTGTAACAGAGCTCCATCCATATGTGCATTGCTTGTACAGCTCCATTTTGTGCCCTGTAGAGGTGCCGGGAGCCAGAATGTGACGTCACTCCGATCCAGGCACTTCTACAGGGCAAGCAATGGAGCTCCCACACGGCCATAGCTCCACCCCACCTCAAGCTGACACTCGGTGCCGGACAGCATGTTTTGAATGCTGCTTGGTGCAAGAACTGACTGTGTTGCGCTAGGGGGAGACCGATAAGCCTTTTACCTGGAAAAGTGGAAGGCATGCAGCGACACACTGAACATGCAGTCGCGACCCACCAGTTGAGAACCAAGGATTTAGGGCATATTTATAAAGCTTGAATGTGACTTTACCACACATGTGACAATCGCTGCCATGTAAAATACATGCACCTGGAAGGTTCACCTCCAGTGAATGGCAGATTTACTGCTTTATAAATATGCCCCTTTCTGAGATCCTCATTTTTGCTTCAAATGGAGCTTAGGTTTACCCTGCCCTCCAACTCCCAATGTGCAGTTCTAAATTCTTGATGGGCAGTATAGCATCCATGAAAACAATGTTAATAAAGAAAAATTGCATTTTCTTTGTGTGTGGCTTTTTTTTTTTTTTTCTTCAACCTATCAATTTCTTCCAACAGATTAGTAATGAAGGACCGCATGCTAACGCTCCTCCAGCACCAGACGGTAAGGAGATTGGGTCATGTGTAGTTTGCACTCAGTACTGTACATATGTTGTGACCAGACCCAATATGTCAGTACCTGATGTTGAAATGAGGTCTTTGAGTGCTGGGCAATTTTTATATCGTACTGTCCATTTTCCCCCACCCATGTACATCTGTCCTGTGCTCAATATAAATTTATCTTAGCAGTGGCCATTTTTTTATTTTCTTTGATGTTTCCATAGGTCCAGGAGCATATGGTGCGCCTGTTGCCAAGCCACGGACAAAAATGCCAGATAATTTTGTCCTGCCTGAGTTACCCTCCGTTCCTGACACCCTTCCTGCCTCCTCAGCCGGAATCGGCACTTCCAGTTCAGATGATATTGATTTTGATGACCTCTCACGTAGGTTTGAGGAGCTAAAGAAGAAAACTTAAGCAGTAAGAACGTCTTTATTTTGGGTGACTTCTCGACTAGTGACCTGACTCTTTCCGAGAAGAAGTTTCAGATCTAAAACCTCTACTGTAAATCTTGCAATGAGCAGCTCCTCCGATTACCCCTTCCTGGAACAAGCAGGAAAAGTGGACTCTCCTCTACCTTAGAAGGTCCTTCTTCATGCCCCTTGCACTAACGATGGGGTGGCTTTGGGGTGTACAGTTTTTGTCAATGAATTGTTAACGAGGGGTTTCTGTCTTTTAAATCTAAAAAAAAAAAAAAGAACTTGTTTCTCTAAATCTGATGCCTTTTCTGTGTTAACCAAGAACTTGGAACTCAACCCAACTGCGGAAATATCATCCAATAAAATGTAAGACTTCCCTTTGCTCGCACGTTCACGGGCTGCTCCTAATACCCCATTTTCTAATCTTTGTATATATTATTTACAGACCTTATGTTAGGCTTGTTTTAAGTGTGTTGTTCTTTTAAAATAAAGCCATGGCCTTCTTAAGTATGTGTGCAGTCTTGTTGGGACAAAGAGATGGTTGAGGTGAAGGTAGTTGTCTTTAGAGAGGCCATTTTTAATGTCATATCCTAGTGGCAATCCCACATTGATTGTAAACAAATAAATCTGCGCTTCTGGAAAAATAAAATTTAGTAATAAGTTAAATTAATAAAGTAAGAATAAATGTGAAAAATGTGAATAAATGTGAATAATTATACCCCAAGCTGCTCTGAAAAAAGGTGGAACCAAGTATGATCAAAAGAAACAAAGCGCTAAAGGTAGCTGTATGAGCAAAAGAATATGCTATAATTGATTCTGGCGAGGTCAGTATGGAAGCTAATATATAAGTATAAAACCCACATTGATACATGAGCCAGGAAACTAGGTCATATTAGTAAAATAAGTGGCGCCAGGCTACTGCTACTTGCAGGGTCATTTTTGGTCACAGTTTGTGTGTATTTTGTTAAACTCTGTAGTGTCTCTGTTTTGGAGGTTACCATCTTGATCGAGGAGAAGAATTTTGCTTTCTCATCTCAGAGCTTCCCGCCTCAGTGACTGGTGGAAGGAATAGTCAAAAAGCAGGGAGAGATGTAGGAAACACAGAATGAATGAAGCAGTGAGAGGGAGGTCCTCAGGTACAGCTTCCTCTCCAGCAAGGAGAACAACGCAAGCACAGAAATGCCATCACCAGATCTCACTATCAAAAGGACAGCTCAGCCCTGTGAGTTTTTTACACAGGGAGATCAGCTCCCCAATTGTAATCAACAGCACTTGTCTGTCCCTGTACTTTATCATGAGGCTCCTGATGAACAGAGGACAATTGTCACACAGACCACAAAGCACTGTTGGTTAGACTTGTAGAGCCGATCTCCCAGTGTAATCTGCAGTGTTGAGTTGTCAATTCCACAACTTAATCCTGCTCTGGAAAGAGGGGGGGTTGCATTTTGATATTTTGTCCTTAGGCACCAGAGAACCTTGTCCTGGTATTGAATGTAGCTGCAACAGTGCTGGATACAGGAGGCAAGTTCAGGAGGTCTGCTGCTTGCATTTATTTATGACACTGTACAGCACACAGTAATGCACGCTGCAGTGTTGCCATGCTTTTGCCTATGGGTTGTACTGCGGTTTTAAATGTAAATGGAACCAAGCAGGGCAACATATTGGCATGCATGACTTTTTCTTAACACAACCCTCCCAGTTTTTTACGTTCTGCAATACAGCGCACTTGTGAAATCCTAGGGGAGGCGGTAGAGTTTTTATTTTGTAGAATGCAAGCATATACCCAAAACTTTTTTTTTTTTTTTATTGGATTCAAACTAGGGACGCAGTGAAATTTTGACCGCCGAAAATGGTACTATGGGCAAAATGCCACTAGTACAAAAACGTCCGAAAATGGGGTGCATTCCTAGCTTCTCTCCTCGCTGGGCGCCGACTGCAAACTTTGGTCTGTGTCCCCTCCAATCCCTGCTGTTCTCCAGAGGCATGGGGATCGGAGGTGACACAGGCCGAGCAGAGCAGTCAGGATGAAGAGCGAAGCACAAACACTCAGTGATCAGTACTGATCGCTGAGTGTTTGTAAATAACAAGCTTACTGTCTCCCCAGTTATAAATAAACAGGAAGTGCTCTATATTACTTCCTGTTCATCCATGATTGTGGACATAGTAACTGATACTATCTCCTCATGTTCTGAATGAACAGGAACACTCAGTATAGAGGCTTCCTGTTCATTTATAACAGGGGCTGCAGAAAAAGATTTAGGACTCTGTCTTCAATCCTCCTTTTTTTCCATTTTAAAAGGGAAATATCTGTTTAGACCCCCTGATATTTCCCAAAGCCCCTAACATTAAAGTATTAAAAAAATCATTAAACCTTTTTTAAAAAGGTTGGTGAAAAAGTCAGTTTTGGTTTTGGCCTGAGACATTTTTTTTATTTCATTTTTGGTCTAAAAATTTCATTTTGGTGCAGACCTAATCAGAACCCCGGTCTTTTATTGCTGTGTCCCCATTAGGTAGATTAACCATTATCACTGAGACAGAATGTAGGGCATCCAAGATTTCACAGCCGTCACCAGAAAATGAGGTGAGGGTAAATCTTCTAATGGGAACATCTGTTTCGGGGAGTACCTAGAAGGGGACTTCCCTTGCTTTGGAGACATTTCCAGTTGCTTCTCCGGGACAGAAACTGAAGGAAGTTTCCCCACCAGGATACAAACAGCTAAAAATAAATGGGGATCTTAACTGCATCTAAGCTTTAAAAAAAAAAAAAAAGTTTTGACTAGACATACTTTTAAGAGTCAGTCCCATAAATAAAACATCCAACATGTATGGTGAGAACCCCTCATTTTGGCCACAGCAGGTGTGTAGACCTAGGAATTCATCAGCAGAGGTATCCGCAATGGAGTTAAAGAGATTTAAGAAATTATCAGGTGCTTTAACTTTCCAACTAAATTCCAGGTTTGGGTGGATTGACCCTTGAAGCTGACGTTTGCTGCAATTGAAAATGCTCTTTTATTATGACATTGGCCTCTAGGCGTCACTGCTGTCTTCACTGTTGAGTAATTCGGCTGTAGCTTAGTATCTGCTCATAGCTCCTTCTCCTTTTCTGCTGCTGCTGCTTTCTTCTCCGTCTTCTCTCGTATTCCCAGTACCCCCGACAGCTTCATTACCAGCATATCCACAATTTCCTTTTCTTCATAAGGCTAAAGGGACACAAGATGCTGATTTATTAAAAGAGAACCTGTCATGAAAGAAATACCTGCACTTCTGTTCTTATTCTCTTTGAGAAGTAACTAGTTCACTGGCTGTCATGATAAGCCTCTGTCTTCACTAAGGGGTAATTGAGCTGAAGAAAGCATGCAGCCAGAACTGAGGCTATTAGATCAATGTGCCAGCCAGATAGCATTTTCAGGAGTGGGCAGCCACAGGATTTCCTTAAAGAGACAGTGTCACCTCTCTCATTCAGAGCAAAATGACTGTCTCTGGGAAGAACCTTGCCCCAAACCACATATGCTTTGCCTTACCAATGCTTCCTTGAAGCTCCTTATTTCTCTGCATCCGGCGACAATACCCAGTACTTGGGAGTATGGAGGAAAATGTGACCTGCATCCCTATGATGGTGCTGGGGCCTAGCAGCTGATTGCCCAGTGTTAAAAGAGAAATATGTTGATGTATTTACCGTGGGGTTCTTGCGCTCACTGGAGAATACGTTAAGCAAAGCAGACAAGAAGATATTCACAATTACTAAGACCAGGAAAACGACACATGTGAAGATGAGCAGAGATCCCAGGACTGGGTCTAGATTGATGATCTGCAATTAAACAGATGATTAAAGAAGAACTGGACTCAAAATAAAAAAGGTATCTCGGCTGTAGATCCTCAAATCATCTCTGAATTGGTGCTGAATGTGGCCATACGAGAATCGTGCAGTGTATGGGCACCTTAACGCTGTCCTTCGGCACCAATTCAGAGATGATTGGAGGATCTACAGCCGAGTGATACACAAATAAGATGCATCTTTGTTAATAGGATACTTGAATGTATTTTTAAGATTTACCTTCTGAGTTTAGTGTAACTTTAAAGTGGAACTAAACCACTTACAACATTTTTTGAGCCCCCAGGATCTTTTGCCATAGCATGCGCCCAATTTTAAAATAGAGTCCTTGTGAAAAATGAGCTTCCTTGGCACGACATGGGAATGCGTGTGCATTAGTGCACTGCAACAAGACACTTAAAGGAGAACTATCTATTGCTCGCGGTATACTGAGCTTAGGGTGATGGGAGGACGCTAGTTTGTGTCCTCCCGTTACCCTAAGGAGAACTATGGGGAAAAGCCCTGACCCCATAGTTCTCCTTTAAGTGTGAATGGGTCCCACGATCCTACACATGGTAGATTACAAGTAGGGGAAAGTTCTGGGTAAGACTGGGCTATGGTCTATGCAGAGGCTAGTTGGAGTCCAGAACACACAAAAAAGCAGCTTGCTCCCTGAGACAAGCTGTGGTTCCTGCAATAAGCCCAGAATTTTACAGAACATCATTTTACAACCCAGAAACCATGCACAGGTTACTATCTATCCATTTTTCATATGTATGACGTCTTTTGGAAATGCCATGGACTATTTCCATGCATAAGCCATATTTCCATATTGCATATCGTGCCATAGTTCATTTAGATCAGAGGTCTCAAACCTCCGGCCCTCCAGCTGTGGTGAAACTACAAATCCCATGATGCATCTCTGTTCGGGAGTCATGTCTGTGGCTGTGAGAATCTTGCAATGCCTCATGGGATTTGTAGTTCCACCACAGCTGGAGGGCCGGAGGTTTGAGACCCCTGATTTAGATCTTCTTAGAGCTACACTGTCATTCTTGGCAAGGTGTGATAATCATTGTCATAGTAAACTGTTCCAATGTCAGCATGCGATATCACATGGAGTGTTGGTAGAAATATTTATTAGGTCTCTTACCTCATCATAATTAAATATCCCAAGGGTTAGGCTGAAAATGGTCACAA